CTGTGGTATCACATGGACATCTTCCTCACCATTGCTGGGCTCAGAAATCTTGCTCTGGGCCACCACAGGAAACCCTTCTTTTTCAATGTGGAAGCCTGCCTTGTTTTGGCCATCAAACAGCTTTAAGATTAAATTGTTTTGGAAAAGAATGAGATGTAATGAAAGGGAAACAAGGGAAATGAAGAGAAGGTGAAGGAAAGTTGACCATAACTTTAATATCTGCAAATCTAAATACAAGATTATCTTTTAATATAATCAAATAATAGCAAAACTAAGTTAGACAACATAATTAGAAGTTTATAAATAAAAGAATACCTTTTGGAATGATGGGAGACTTGTGTAGGATGAAACTCTGCAATGGAGTTTGGGTAAAATGTACTGGGGACTTAGCTAAAGAGGAATAAATCTGAAGTCCACAGATCAGAAATTTCAAACCTACCTTGGTCTATTATACCTCTTTTTCTCTTCCTTTGAAAGTATCCTAAACTTATCATACACGCATTCATTTACTAACTGTGCTCTCTAGTAGCAAGATATGAAAATAATACCCCATGTTGAACACTGGAAAACTTTTCCAAAAAGGTCTTGGTCCCCCTGTCATTTTGAAAAAGAGTGCTATATAAATACATAAATGCCCTCTTGCAAATCCTGTAAATGCATATATTAAATAAGATGCACAGCACTTGGGAAGGTTTTCTAACACTGATATCTGGAAAATTATGTCAAGAATTTCAGAGATTTTGGAAAAATAAGAGAAGGTCACAGGGTAAAATCCCTGACAAACACTGTCAATTTAGAATGGCAGCTACATTTGAAAACACAGTCCTTATGAGTCATGTGTTGCTGTTGTTAGGGAATTTGAGGGAATAGGGAAAGGCTAAAAGGAATTTGAAAAGATGTATATGTACAAACCTTTATGGAAATGTATTCTTTATGTCAGACTTGAGATATCACAATCCTTGTTCCTAAGATACTGAAATATTATTATGAGCTGAATAAACTTCCAGAAATCCTACAGGCTGATAAGACTCTGTCTTCTTTACATTACCAAGGCAATCAAGGGATTGACTGGTGTCCCAAAGCAATTAATATAAAGCAGGTGATATTTAAATTATTTGAATAAATTCTTTGTGTATGTATTATTAAATGGATACCAGATGATTATCTTGGAGTAGATCATATCTTGTAGCAGATCATAATCTACTTTTCCCATCTCATTTCTCTAATTAGTTTCTTTCTTTATTACTTTATATTTTGCCTTCAATAAGATACCTCTTGAATACAGTATCATCTAAAAAATAAATTTTGTAGCCAGACCTAAAAAGGCAAATTGAGTCAACTAGCAGCTAACAGGAGGATGAGCTGTCAGGCAGAAGTTATGTCATTATTGCAAGAAAGGAGATCAACACTACTACTAGAGTATGAGCATCCAGAGTCTATGATGATTATGTTAATTAAAAGTAAATAAATGTATTCAAATACCAAAAGAAGAGAAGAATTGGGCTAGAAATTTTTGTTTCCTAAGGAGTTAAATTCTACATTATAGCACCGTGGTCCTTAGTGATAACTAGGAAGAACATTTACCTTGTTTAAAACAGGGTCAGTGAACCAAGAATTGTCTATGTATTTGTTACGTTTATGTTAGTTATAGCAATTAACTTTGGCAGTGGAAGAAGCACAAATTAGTATATGCTAATACAAAACTAGAGATGGAGAAGGGAGAGTAGATAGACAAAAGGGCTATTGTGGAGTTTAGAGATAATTTTTTTTAAATTAAATATATGGTTAATTCTTCACCCATGTCCCAAGCCCAAGAGACAATGCATAAGTATCAAACAAAAGGTAAGAAATAAAAAGCATGACTACAATTAATGGAAAAAGTGACTATTATTTAGCTCTTCTTCCCTTACATTAAGTTTTGATATAAGGATTTAAATGGATTAATGAATAAATAAATAAGCAAATAAACCAGGCTATTCCCTGAATAAAGATAATGGGATTGAAATAATTATTTTCTGTTATAAAATAATTTTGACCCCTAAGAAAAATCCTAATAGGGATCTGAGTACTCTCCAGATATAGATTGCAAGTCTAGCAAGAATGTTAACAAAAATTAACACTGATGAACTAAGAGAAGATGAATTAAAGTTTTACCAGATAAAAGTTACATGGGGCCGGGCGCGGTGGCTCAAGCCTGTAATCCCAGCACTTTCGGAGGCCGAGGCGGGTGGATCACGAGATCAAGAGATCGAGACCATCCTGGTCAACATGGTGAAACCCCGTCTCTACTAAAAATACAAAAAATTAGCTGGGCATGGTGGTGCGTGCCTGTAATCCCAGCTACTCAGGAGGCTGAGGCAGGAGAATTGCCTGAACCCAGGAGGCAGAGGTTGCGGTGAGCCGAGATCGTGCCATTGCACTCCAGCCTGGGTAACAAGAGCGAAACTCCGTCTCAAAAAAAAAAAAAAAAAAAAAAAAAAAGGTTGCATGGACCTGAAAAAAAGGCAGTAAAAATAAATAACATAAAAATCAAAATTATAATATATAAATATAAAAGCAATTTGAAACAACACTTTAGTACTTGAAGAACCAAAAAGAATTTTTTAAAAGTGTGACAGTAAAGAGAAATGAGGCAGAAGGAGGAAGATAATGTAAATTCCGTAAGAGTAGAAATTTTTGTCTTTGTTCATTGCTAAATCTCCAGTGCCCAGAAAAATACTTGGCAAATAGTGGGCAGTGAACAGAAATAATTAAATGAGTGAATGAATAGGATAAGAGAGCTGACACTGATATAACAATAGTGGGGAAAAAAAGATAATATAAAAATAAACAAAAATATTTTTATAAAAATAAAAGTAGAAACAGAATTGTGATAGAGTGAAGAGAATTTGGGAAGTGATCAACAGAGAAATGAGAGGCTAAAAATAATAAAAGATAAAAAGATACATAGAAGTATTATAGAAGAAAGAAAGAGGGGAGAGAGCAAAGTAGATGATATAAAATATTAAAATTATCAAAAAAGATAGAAATAATATGGACTGGAAAAAAGAGAAGACTTTAGATGTTATGATAAAAGATAAAGTAAAAGGCAAGAGAAACCAGTTACACTGGTTACTGTTATAATACTAGTTAACAGCAGAGCTCAGATTTGAACATAGGCAATCTGATACCAGAATCTCTGTTCTTAACCACTATACTATTAATACTATGCAGACATATAGCTCTGTTTCTAAATTTTAAAAGGAGGAAAATAAAATAGGCTTTTAAGAAGCTATGAAAAGTTTACAATTTATTTTTCATTTCTCTTTGGTTTTATTCATTTGTTTGTTAATAATATGCCTCAATTCTAAAATAGCTCCACAAGGGCAGGCATCTTTGCTTGTTTTTATCCACTGATATATCCTAAGCATCTATGTGCCTGGAACATAGCAGGTGTTCAAAAATATTTCTTAAATAAATTCTTGGTAGTCATTACTTTTTTGCCATCATCTATTAGACAAAGACTTTGTATAGCAAACAAAAAATTAAACATCTAGTCATTTTATTCCTGAATACTTTCAAATATCCAATACTTTGACAATGCACAAACACAGTCAAACCATAAAAAATAACTAAAGAATATGAGTATTTGGTTGGGAAATACAGACAATAAGAAAAGATTTACAGATAAACCTATAAATGACAAAATGATATAAATGAATATGTTGTTTTATCAAATGCTGATAAAAATTGACAGCTATAAATACAGCCTTTGAATACAATTATAAATATGTCCTTTGCATACAAAAATGATACTACTGACATACTATTATAGACATTCTTTGATTTGATTTTATTCTATATTTAGTGAAGATCCAGCATAAACCTATTATCTTGATTTGATTTGTATCATTCTTAATTTAAACAAACAGATTATGTATTCACTACTTCAAATAATTAGAAATTTTTATTTGAAATCACAGGTTCTCAAACACGTATAATAATACAGTCTCCATTATATGCTGAATTTATCTTAATTTTAACTTAAAAATTAAAACATTAAAAAGTCCTGAAACATTGTCATTAGGCTGCAGCACATTTCCATCATTTTTTAAATCACAATACTTAGAAAAAGTTTGTCCTAAAAGTATTTCAACATACTTAGCTACAGTATGTGACTGAAGTAAACTTTTATAACTAAGAATGTTTTCATGTAAGGGAACGCAATCCTGTCCCAAAACATTGAAAGGAAAAAAAAACTTATCTAAACAAATATAAAAACAGAAAATAGATATTTAAAAATACATATTTCTGAAACTACATTGTTAGTAGTTTAATCACAGCAAATGCTATTTATATTTAAGTATAAATATAAATTATTTATAATCTAAACTACTCAAAATACAAACGTACCTAATTAAAAAGCTACCTTTTCTCTGTTTTCTATACCGACATCTTTATTCTGGCCCTTACTTGACATTCCTCAATGCAAAATATATCCAACCTTCACACTTACAGGTGCATGAATCCAAGGGAAGACTTACCAAGTCTAATAACTCCAGGAAAAGTTCTCAATTACACGTAACAATGGAAATTGGAACTTTCAACATGAAAACACATTTTTAATTTTCCCCTCTGATTCAATAATCAAGGAATATTGATGTAAAACCTCTAAAAATTACCTGTCTCAGGTGCGGTACATAAATCAATGAGGTAAGTAAGCACAATTGTTGGATATTCTTTAAGGTGTAAATACATAAGACAAAAATCTTACATTAATAAAAATATATAGAAACATCTGTATAGGACTAGAGTTTTTAAATGTGAAAAAGAGAATATATTATTGACAAGAGGGAAAGACTACAATATAGACCCGACTGAAAAAGTATTTGTACACACTTTCCATATTGAAACGTATTTTTCAAATTTCTAGTCTTAAAGTCTGTTCTTAGCCTTCTACATCTCCATAACTGATATTTTAAAATGATGTATTGGCACATAAAATTAGATGCTCTACTCACCCAATTTTGAAACTTTAAGAATTCTTCAATACTCTTCGGAGGTTCTTGCATTTCCTAATAAAGTAAAACCAATATTGTTCATTGGCATAAATTCAGACTGTTTATAATATTTACAAATAATTTACTTAAATATGTTACTCTATTTATCAATTTCAAAGTAGTACGATATCATAAAATGCTCACTTTGTACCATTCCTCCACTTTGAAAAGGGACATAAATGTTTACATTCTCAGCTTCCAAACCAAATTTTGTAATAGGCTTCCCTTTCATGCACTACCCATGGTGAAAAACTCCACATGAATCTTGCTTAAGGCCCTCATTTCAGATTCCTAAAGACTTTCAAGATATATTGGGGTATCTTGGATAGTCTATAATAAATTCAGAGCCAAAAATATATTATGTTCTTGCTGATTAAGTATTTTTAAAAGCTAATCAGTTACACAGTAAAAATAAATTTAAATATTTGGATGTTTTAGTCTAACAGATAAAAAATCACATTTTTTAGTAGTTTCTTTGTGATTTCAAAATGTGTTCAACATTAGACAAATTAATTTTAATCAAGACCACACTTTTCTCCTTTTTGCCTTAGAGACTTTGCATACATTCTTTCTTCTGTCTAGAAGTCTCCCTTTCCCAAACTCTCTTCTTCCAATCCCTTCTTGGCCTGTTTAACTCTTACTTCAAATAACAAATTAAAAGTCACTTTGTCCAGGAAGCCTTTCTTATTCCCCAAAGTTTTCTCCATGGTGGCATATAGCAGATTATCTCTATGAGGACAGAAACTATGGTACAATCATGTCTGAATTTTCTAAATTTCACACAGTGGCTGGTTCATAGTCAATGCATAATAAGTACTTGCATGTGCATAAATTAAAGCATAAATGTATAGATGAAGGGCAGAAATGTGTAGGTACTTGAAAAATAATAAAAATCCTTCCAGGGAATGAAAATCCAGTAAGAAGAAGGCAAAAGTAAGAGCAATTCAGAAGTCAAATACTCTAACATCCATGGTGATATCACTGGAAAGATTGTAGTGGCATTTTCATTTATTAAAACACGTATTTCTCATCGATATGTAAAATGGTTAAGATTACAAAATAACAAGGTCATGCTTTATAAAAAATTCTATAAAAATAATAACATATTTGAGTTGGAGGATATTTCATTCATCTAAATATATGATCAATGTAAGGAAATAGGTAACTGATAATACAAGAAGAAAATAGAGTGTATGTAACAACCATTACAGAAAACAAGTTTTTAGTGAGAGTTAAAAATTTAAACAACTGAACTCATGGAGATAGAGATAAAATGCTGGTTGCCAGATGGTGGGAAGGGTAGTGGGAACTAAAGGGAAAGTGTGTATGGTCAATGAGTACAAAAATATAGTTAGGGTCAGGCATAGTGGCTCATGTCTGTAATACCAGCACACTTTGGAAGGCCAAGACAGGAGAACTGCTTGAGCCCAGGAGTTTGAGACCAGCTTGAGCAACACAGTAAGAGCCCATCTCTATAAAAAAGAAAAGAAAAAAAAAACAGTAAAAACAAATAAACAAAAAACCAGAGTGGTCAGGCAGGGTGGCTCATGCCGACAAGCCTAGCACTTTGGGAGGCCAAGGTAGTTGGATCACTTGAGGTCAACAGTTCGAGAGATCTCCAAACCCCTGTCTCTACTAAAAATACAAAAAAATTAGCCAGGTGTCCCAGCTACTCGGGAGGCTGAGGTGGAAGAATCGCTTGAACCCTGGAGGCAGAGGTTACAGTGAGCCAAGTTTGTGCCACTGCACTCCAGCCTGGACGACAGAGTGGGAGTCTCTCTAAAAAAAAACAAATAAATAAAAAGTTGAGCTAGATAGAATAAATAAGATCTAATATTTGATAGAACTACTGGCTAACTATAATCAACATTTTAAAATAAATAAAAGAGTATAATTGCAATGTCTGCAACACAAAGAAATGATAAATGCTTGAAATGATGGATACCCCACTTACCTCTGATATAATTATTACACTTTGTATGTCTGTACCAAAAATTAATTGATGTATGCCACAAATATGTATCCTTATGATATACTCTCAAAAATTAAACAAAGAAAAACAAATTGTTTAGAAAGAAGCAAAGATGCATACAGATGTGAAGAAAATGTTATAGGAAACAGGAACTCTAGAACTAGTCAGATTGAAAAGAATGAGAGATACGAAAGATGGGGTGCATAAAAGGCTTACAGATAGAAAAGTGCTCATGATATAATACCTTCAGGGATAGTGAGTACAGCAATTTGACTAGAGGAGACTTGCAATACATTAAAAAATATACAGAATTAAAGTTAATGAAAACAATTTAAGTATAGACTTTTTTTCTTGTAATGGCTGTCAAATCACTCCTAGTACAAAGCACCAAAAATAATATGCACATTTAAATTAAAGGGAATCAGAAAAAGGAATTAAGAAAGTGAAACTTGCATAGTAAAGTCCCAATTAATTTCAAAATTCTGTGTTTCTCTTGGAATTTTAAAGTTTTGGAATTTAAAATTAAAAGAAGGAATTTAAAGTTAAAAGGATTGGAATTTAAAAGAATCTTGGAATTTAAAGTTAAAAGAAGGTAAGGTATAAATTAAACAGATTTCTATTTCTGATAGAATGTACAAGGATATAAAACACCTATATTTCCATGGTAACAATAAGACAAACTTGGACAAATTAAAATCAAACTTGTCTATGGGGTTAGTGAAAAGTGGTAAATGCCAGGAGGCAGGATCTGGTTATATAACTTGTAAACATTCAGAGTTCCTTATTCAAAAATTATTAAGAGTTTGAAGATAACAACATCAGAGCATTAAACCAAATGCATGGTACTTCTCAGCATAAGGCCCTGTGCAACTACAGAAGTTGTAAACTCATGAAGCTGAAAACAAGCCTAATTGTCCCACAGAACTAATGTTTATGGTTTCTTTAAATAAACATAGAAATTAATCCTCTCAGTCTTAAAACCTGAGAAAGTTACATTTGTCTTTTCTGAGTTCCTTTCTCAGAAAATTAACCATCAGGCCTCCCAGATAGTGTTAAGGAACTGAAATGTACCAAATCAGTGTATCTTGAAAATGAGCCTCTAGATTCCTTACCATCACCCATCACGACTGCCTAACTGACCACTTGTTTGCTGTTTACCGCCTCCTCCTCACAACCCTCCCTAATTCCTGTTTTCCCACGCATGGTTACATGCCTTCCCTGCTATATGAAACCCTAATTTTAGTCAGTCAGGGAGATGGATTTGAGACTGATCTCCCATCTCCTAGGCTGTAGCACCCAATTAAAGCTTTCTTCCTTGGCAATACTCATCTCAGTGATTGGCTGTCTGTGCAGCAAACAAGAAGACCTAGACCAAACCCTTGGTGTTTCAGTAACAAAGCCAGCTCTACCTGGGAGCCTTGATTACCTGAAATTCCAACCAAGAGAAATATGACATTTATAAGTGAACATAAAGCTGTGGCAGCTTCCTTACCCTGGGTCCAGCTCTGCTGATCTTTTGACACTTTCGCTGGCCTGCCATGGTACAGTAAGTCTGCAGAAATGAAGAGAAATCAGCTGGGCCTTAGGCATCAGTGTGAGTTGGGGAACCAAACTGGAGTATGAGAGACACTGAAATGCAAAAATAAATGACTCAGCCAAACAATTCTTTTCCCCTCAACCCCAAACCTCACTTCTGACTTTCACCAAGTGATAATCAACTGGCTCTGTGTCTCCACTCAAATCTCATGTTGACCTCCCCCAAAAAAAAAGTTGCATACTGGCTAAACCAAAAAATAAATAAATCTGATGTTGAACTGTAATCCCCAGTGTTGGAGGTGTGGCCTGGTAGGAGGTGATTGGATCACGGGGATGCTTTCTAATGGTTTTGCAACATTCTCCTAGTGCTGTTTTGTGACAGACTTCTCACGAGATCTGATTGTTTAAAATTGTGTACCATCTCCCCCTTCACTCTTTTCCTCCTGCTCCAGCTATGGAGGATGTGTCTACTTCCCCTTCACCTTCCACCATGATTGTAAGTTTCCTGAGACCTCCCCAGCCATGCTTCCTATACAGCCTGTAGAACTGTGAGTCAACTAAACAGCTTTTCCTTATACATTACCCAGTCTCAGGTAGTTCTTTATAGCAATGTGAGAACAGACTAATATACCAAGAAAGCAGCAGTGGAAGTAAGGCTGGAAAATATATTTTCTGCTCATGAACCTGGAGGTTCTACTACGTCATATGACAAAGGGCATGCATACAACAAGAAATGGACCAGGGAAGGCTAGTAATGTAAGCTACTATAACGTTTATAAAAAAGACTGGGCTGGGAGTGGTGGCTTACAACTGTAATCCCAGCACTTCAGAAGCTGAGGCAGGTGGATCATTTGTGGTCAGGAGTTCAAGATCAGCCTGGCCAACATGGTGAAACCCCATCTCTAATAAAAATACAAAAATTATCCCAGCATGGTAACACACACCTGTAATTCCAGCTACTCAGGAGGCTTAGGAGAGAGAATCATTTGAGCCTAGGAGGTGGAAGTTGTGGTGAGCCAAGACTGTGCCTCTGCACTCCAGGCTGGGCAACAGAGTGAGACCCTGTCTCAAAAAAAAAAATTTTTTTTTGGCCTGAATTTGTCTATCTTATAATGTGAAGATTTAGAATAAGGCTATTATGGTCTCAAAAAAAAATGAGTTGGGAAATGTCTCTGTTTTTTCTGTTATCTGAAAGAATTTAAAAATCTGAAAGATCAGTACTATTTATTCCTCTCTTCCTTAAATGTTTGGTGAACACTGCTAGTTATGTTCCCTGAACCTGAACCTGAAATTATGGTGGAGTTTTTAATTAAGGATACTGTTATAGACCTGATCATGCCCCCACCCCAAATTCATATAGTGAAGCCCTAACACTTTTAACAATATGTGACTTTATTTGGAGATGGAGCCTTTGAGGAGATAATTAAGGTTAAAAGAGGCTATAAGAGTGGGGCTGTAATCTGATTAGTGTCATTATAAGAATAGACACCAGAGAGCTTGCTTGCTCATGTTCTCTCTCTCTCTCTCTCCATATACACACAGATATAAAAACATCTAGACCTATGAAATAATAAATTTTGTGTTGTTTTAAGTCACTTTGCTTGTTTGCTGTTTGTTACAGCAGCAATAAGAAACTAATATGAGGAGAAAGTGATTTTTTTCCCAGTAATTTGCAGATGTGAAAAAATGCCACACACTTAATTCATGCTCTGTTTATATAAAAGAGGCTTTGTAAAGACATGGTAACAAGGCAGTAGTCTACAAGCCAGGAGGAGAGGATTCACTAGAAGCTAATACTGATGGCAGCTTGGTCTTAGATTTTTGGCCTTCAGAACTATGAGAAAATAAACTACTGTTGTTTAATTCATCCACTCTATGGTATTCTATTATAGCATTCTAGGTAGACTGATACAATCTATCAAAATTAATATAGGATTATCCAGCTATTCTATTACTTCTTATATTAATTTTGGTAAATTATTTTTCAAGAAAAATTAAAATGTCAAGTATTTTGATATAAATATTTATTCTTCATATCTTCTTATCTTTGTAATCTGTAGTGTCTGTGGTGATGTTTCATTTTTCATTTCTGAAATTTGTACTTGAGTTTTCTTTTTCTATCTTGGTCAGTCTATCTAAAGGCTTATCAATTTTATTAATCTTTGCAAATAACCACTTTTGGCCTTGTTGCTTTTCTTTAGTGCACATTTGTTTTTAATTTTATTGATTAATTCTTATTTTTATTGGTCTTTTTTCTTCTTTAAATGTTTGAGAAACTTCAAATGATAAACCTTGCTCCTCTATGAAGCTGACTGCTTGACAATTCCTGTTCAGTAACCATGAGCTTTTCATCACCATTATAATTCTTGTTTTTCAAAATGAATAGAAAGCTAAAGACTATTAGACATTTATGGAATAATTGTGAAATGAAAAATATAGAAACAAAAAAATAGAAACCCAAATGACTAGAAATAAAATCTAGGCATATATAGACAATGTGGAGAACAGAAGGAAACTTCAAAAAAGTCTTTAAGATTCTTAGAGAGCCACAATAAGATAATGCATCCCGGAAACCTAAACTGCATGTTATAAATGAATAGAGAATAAGAAAAAATGCAAAGTACAAATATAATGATATAAATTATTCAACAAAATTCTGGTGAAAAATAGTTGAAGAAATCTTCTAGAAACTAGAATTAAAATGTTAAAGTAAACAAGAATCAGAAAATAAAAAACAATAATTTAGAGGATTATGCCAGGAAAATGACTTTCAATCTGTAAATTTAAATACAGACAGGGCATGAATTAAGTGTGTGGTATTTTTCAGATTTGAAAGATACTAAAAAAAAAAATTTTTTTCTTCCTAATAGTTTCTGATTGCTGCTGTAACAAACAGCAAAGCAAGTGGCTTTAAAAAAAAACAAGTTTATTATTTCACAGGTCTAGAGGTCAGAAATCTGAAATGAGTCTGCAGGGCTATATTCTGTGTGTGTGTGTGTGTGTGTGTGTGTGTGTGTGTGAGAGAGAGAGAGAGAGAGAGAGAGAGAGAGTTTTGTTTCTGTCGCCCAGATTAGTAAATTTATTTGTGTAACAGAAAAACCCAAAATATCAATGGTTTAATACACGTTTTTTTCTTCCAAAAGATCTTTTTGTGAGAAAAGGGGCTTCTAGAAGTCACCTGCTATCCTTTGCTCGGAGCTCCTCCCTCTAACTTCAAAGCCAGCAGTGCAGAATCTTCTCCCCTCTCTGACATCTTGTCTCCCTCTTATAAGGACTCTAATGATGTCCAGCCACCCAGATAATATTTAGCATAATTTTCCTGACGTCCTTAATCACATACGCAGTTCCTTTTGCCATATAAGGTAAAATATCAGTCGATTCTGGAGATAAGGCTATGTACATCTTTGGGGAAAGTTATTCTGTCTACCACACTCCCATTTACCTTTTTTTAGGAAGGTACTAGAGAATGTAGTTCATTTTTAAAAAGGAATTAAGCGAAGAAAAAAGAAACAAGTGATCTAACACACAGGAGAGCAGTGATATATTGGAGAAACCAGCAATCCTGAATAAACTAAAGGTGGTAATGCTCTAGGAGGAATATCTGTAAGGAAAACGAAATCTACTAGATTAACTGATATATTTTGCTGTGATGCTTTAGCAGTTTGCCAAAATATTTCAGGACAGATTAATAATAAATACATTAAAAATGGCAGTTATTAAGAGAAAGGAAAGTACACGATTGGATTAAAAGTTAATGTGATTTTAGTATACTATGTGGCTTAGGGTGGAATGACATTTACCTAGACAGTAGTGATAACACTAAACGTTGATTTAACCAAAACCTATGATATCACTATACGGAGAGGTGAAGGGACAAGAAGAGTATATGAGGTAGAAAGGGAATGTTCACACACTTGGAGGTGGTGTTGTTAATAAAGACCTATGTCACTGTCTTTCATAGGAGAAAGTCAACAGGTAATGTCTGAAATTGGAAAATCAAGAAACTGCAAAGTCAGTATATTTAGAAATAGGGAGTAACAGAAGAAATATTTAAAATACTTGAATTTTCCTTTGGTGAGAAGAATTGAGAATAGAGTGGAAGGGTTAGGGACTACAGGGTTTGCCTTAACCTAGAACGTGGCAAACTGTTAGTGCTCACCAATATGTGTATATTTCTCTACATTTCCCAGACTCCCTTACAGTTTAAGTGGTGGCCTTGGGACTAAATTCTGACCAATAGAATGTGGCCAAATTGATATATCATTTTTAGGGTTTGACGTCTATAATTTCTTGGGTGATATTTGCCATACTTTCTTTCTTGTCACATAAGCTATGGACCTCAGGTCCTAGAAGGCCGAAGAACCATTCAAAATAAAAACATGTGGCCTTGAATTTAATATTTCATCTGACTAGAAATAGCCACAATGGCTTTTCTGTGAGAAAAAAAAACGTGTATTAAACCATAGATATTTTGAGGTTTTCTATAATAGAAGTAAATTAACTATGCTGGTTTTAAAACATGGACAAGAATTATTTGCCAATCCTTTTAGAAGAGGGATCTGTCTCCTTTCCTAAAACGGAAGAGGACTTGTGACTCACTTGTAAGCAAAAGAAAGTGAGGGAAGTAGCACCATGTTACTTTTTGAGGCAAGGTCAGAAAAGGACAGGCAATTTTTGCCTTGTTCTTTGCAAAACTCCCTTTGGAGCTCTGAGTCTAAGGTAAGAAGTCTGATTACCTTGCTGCCATACCTTGAGGAAGCCCTAGACAAATGAAGAGTTATAGAAGCTCTGCTAGCATGCCTACCCACTCTAGTCTTCCTAATTGAATTACCAAAAAAATAAAGTGATGACTGTGACCTACTGACAATACCACCTATGAGCATAAAAAAATGTTTGTTTCAAGTCACCATATTTTGGAGTAATTTATTCCATGGCAAATGCTCATTTCCAAACCAATGCTCTATCTAACAAGTAGTATCATTTGCTTTTTAATCTGTATAATTTAACTACTTTGATGAAACTTAAGAGTTAAGCTAAAAAGGAAAATGATTGTAAATTATTTATTCCTGACTTAGAGACTTTGCTCTTCTACTTTCCTTACCCAGAAAATTCACCTTTCTCCCTAAAACACTGGCTTTCAAACTTTTTATAGTTTGAAATACACTAAGATAAAACAAAAAAGCCCTCGTGCACACATACATGCTATATAATTGAAACCTCCATAAAGCAGTACTTTACTAAATAGTATTAAATTTACTCACATGCACTGATATTTTCAATCTATATTGTTTCTTTTTTTAAGTGCTTACAAATGGATCAAGATCCACTAATGGGTCCCACATAATCCCCTTTACAGTTGAAAAACAGTGTCCTAAAGCTAAATCATTTTTCAAGGCCTTACCGAATTCCAAAAAAGAAGCCTTTCATGACCACTCCATTCTGAGCTTTCTTGAAATTCCTAATTTATGAAATTGCATTTTAATCTCGGTAGTAAGAATATTGCATTTTCTGTACTATCCATGGTTTACTTGTATCATGAACACTTCTAGGGCATTCTAATATCCTATATCTGCTACTTGATAAATTCAGAATACTCAATAAACATTGCTCAACATTTGACCGTTGTGTTTCAAAATCTTAGCTGTTAGAGTGCACTTCAATTTGGGCATTCTTTGGGAAGAGGCATGGAAAAGTGGTCTAGTAACTTATCCACATTATCATACTTAACTTTAGACTGGAAAAGCATACAAAGTACTCTTAACTCTATATGCGTATTTTTACGCAAACCAAATCCTAAAGATACAAATGATTTTTCTAATAGCTTTCATTACCATACAGCGCACGAAATAATGATACTGATATAGCCACGGAAGCCTAACAGAACCATATTCGTATCACTAAAATATCTTTGAGATGGGTAAAACGCAAACTTTTCTCTGGGAACAACATTTCTTCACAACTCACTGCAACTATGCCTTCAGAGTATGTTTCGAGAACCGCGTCCCAATTATGTTGTCCCAGCAAGGATCAGGAGGAAACTGGCTGGAAGGCTGCGAGGCGTGAGCCAGGTCCCAGACGAACTCGGCCCTGCCCCCCGCCGGAGCCTCTCAGAGGCGGTACGACCAGGCCGCTGCCTGTGAGGGTGAGGCAGAACTTCCCGTTTAACCCCGCCCTGCTGTCGTTCCCGCTCGTGGCTTCAGCCGCGCGAACGGCGGCGTGTCGGCCCCGGCCCTAGCAACACCACTGGTAACGGCCTGGCTCCTCCCTCTGGTGTTACCCGAAAAGCGCTCCGTCCGGTCCGTGCGCGATCACGGCCCGGCGCGCGCCTTGGGCTCGGGTGGAGCTGAAGACGCGTGGAGCTGCTCGACTCGCGGGTGTGCAGGTCTGAGTACCACTCTGATTCCTGGTGCAGGTCTCTGCGCGTGGAGCGTGGTCTGGCTCCAGAGTTGCGGCAGCGGGAAGCGGACATTCCTCGTCAGGACCCTAGCGGAGATCACGCTGGGTGTCGCCTGTGACGGGGATCCTCGGTCCCTGCGCGGGCTCTTGTTTTTTGTTAGGATGTTGGGGGCCCTTTGGGAAAAAGGTTTCCAAATTTTTCTGCAAAAACCAGTTATTTTTTCCTACCAGTGATTTCGGAGCATTCCGCCCCAACGAAAGTTTGTCCTGGCCGAGTCAGTTCCCTAGGAACCCCATTCTCTATATTTTTATTTTTATTTTTATTTTTTTTAGTATTTGGAGTGGTTTGTGGGGGTTATCACGAAAGGGGAAGAGTAGTACAGACGTAGAATTAGCGATGCCATGCAGTATATTTGAAATACTGAGGTTGTGGTTACATAATAAGCAAAAGAGCCTGTTTCTTACATCTAAAATATTTATTGGGAATGTAGGACAAATAACGAAGTATATTAACATTTTCAGGCGCCAGGTCCACAAAGTTGGATGGTAAAATCAGTACTTCAGATCGCAGCATTTAAGGACTAACCCAATGCACCATGAAAACGAAGGCAAGACCGTCTGCTACCATATAATGGGTGGTGTGGGAGGGGCCATTAATCCTATATTTTAAAAGGGTACTACCTTGAATTGTGAAAAATGAATGTTGGACCTGGAGGTCCTATGTGACCAGGTTCTTAAAAATACTCTAGCAAGAAAATTTGAAGTGGTTTTTATCTAGTACTGAATTGGTCCACAATATAGGATAGGGGAGTCTATATATATAATGTTCCATTGGGAAGGAGGTGATTCAGCTTACAATAATGAAAGAGATAGAAGATTTTTCTGTTATTATTTTGGAAAAAAAAAGAAATTGCCAGCCTGCCACCTGTGCTAGGCTGCAGATGGCCCATAAAGGTAGTTTGTGAGAAAGTTCAGTAGCAAGATGCTTACTGGATGTGTTTTGCAGAGTGGATTTAATTTAGTTAACAAGTGTTTATCGAATTCCTCCTGTTGCATAAGAATCTTGAATATGTGAGATCAGGAAAGGATCTTCTCTTACAGAGTTGAATGCTAGAGGGGCCAGCTTCACCAAAGTACCTCTAAAATAAGTGGATTTTTCCATGTCAAATATGTGTAATCAATAATAAGTATTCAAAGATAAAGAGGTTTAAGACCTTGCCATGGCCCATCTATGAGTTAATAAGGAACTGAATTAGAGTCCTGACTTTGAGAGTGAAGATAGAGGATTACGTACAAGGTAGAATTGATGCAAACTTGGTGAGTATAATTAATTTGGGGTGGAAATTGGGTAGAAGGAGGAATAAAAAAATTAATGTATTTTCAGCCCTAAGTTCCTGGAAGATGGACACACCATCAAGGTGTTAAAATTGTTAGTTCCATAGGAATAGTCTTTATGTTTTCTAAGTCTTTTTAGCTCCCATGACTCAAATTGTATTTCCTTGCACATATTTGACGTTAACAGGTATGTTTTAAAGATTTTAAATGGCCACATTTGTAACATACGATTTACTCATAGTTGAGGCAGGCTGTTGGCTAGGTTAGGACAGATGTCTTGATCATGTAGTTTCAGAGACCTTTGGAGGGAGCTGTCCATGATTTACAATTGCTGGCCTCTTCTATGTGGTCACCACAGCCATAAGTGAGAGTATGTAGGGTGAACTAGAAGATGGAGACATTAACATTTCTCTTTTACTGTCTTACAGGTATCTGTGGTGTTTGATTTTTGTAGAGGAAGGTTATTTATATAAGGCTTCACTAAAACCCATTTAGTTATTTGGATAGGAGGTCCGTGAACTACAAAATGGTATTTCTGAGGTATCTCTAAGACGAATGCACTTTGAGGGCCAGAGAATAACTCCAAAAACTCACCAATAGTTTTCTGCTAAATGTCAAGCAACCACAGTAACTGTCATGACATCACAGGAACTGCATTTTTCAGTCCCACTATGTCTAGGTTTTTGAGTGACACATGCAGTTCCACTAAATAGCTACTGGAATACCCAGGGAAATAAATCAGGTTGAGTTAGTCCAATCAACTTTCTTTTTTTAGGATGAATCCCATCATTTGAGTAACTCAGGATTATGAAAGCCTCAAAATGTTTCTCTGTAAGAACCACAAGCAACACCAGAACAAACCCAAAGAGGGTTTAGGTGAAACTTAGCTTCATATGTGCAGCAAAGAGATGTCAATAGAGCATTTGCAACTCTGATTTCTGAAGACTATTAGGATCTCTTCCCAAACTTTCTTTTTCTTCTCTGTTTTAGAGATGGGATCTCACTTTGTTGTCCAGGCTGTTCTTAAACTCCTGTGCTCAAGTGATCCTCCCACCTTGATCTCCCAAATGCTGGTATTATAGGCATGAGCCACCATGCCTGCCTCTTCCCAAACTTGGAACTTCTTTACCTCATTTATAGTTAGACTCTAGGAAAGTTCCAAACCTCCTGAAATTGTGTGCAAAATATTGTGTCTGTATATGCATTTTCTAGGGATGAGGTTTAAGATTTTAATGTGATTCCTAAAAGGATCTGAGACTCAAAAAAAGATGGCATCTTAATTTATTGCACTTTTAGTCATTGAGGGCATGTTAACAAAGATTGAAGCCATTTTTAGGCAGGTGATTTAGAGTGGTGGTCAGAAGTAGGTAAGATTTTCTATTTGTGAGGCAGGAAGAAGGGATTGGACCATTGTTCTTAAATACTGCTTTCTTACCCAAAATGTAAATCTGTGCCTAATCAGTACACAGCAAAAATATTTACTATATTTTGGTTTTCCCCCTTGGGTACATTTGGCAAATACCTTTTTCTACTATAACTGGTATCTTTGCATCTTTTTATTTGGGTCTCAAGCTCACTAGGACTTACAGTCTTTTAAAAAAAAAATTCATTTGATGAGTAATTAAATTAGGGGCATTAACTTCTTGTCAACAAATTACGTTGTACTTTGTGTTTCTCTGGACTTTTTGTTCACTTTCTATTTGGGAGACCACAAAGTGTTTCCTATTGAAGTCACAGCATTTCTCTTGTCACTGTTACTACTTAAAGTGGCTGGAGCTTCATAGTAAACCACAATGCCAGAAGGCTTTATAATAAGAGAATTATTTTACAGCTGTGGAATGCATATCGAATCAATAGGGCCCCACTGTTGTTTCTCTGTTGAAAGATATCTTCCTTAGAGGGTATGCAGATAACAATTTTGGCAGCCATCACCCTTCTTTGAAGGAAGTATTAAGTGGGAAAGTTACTTTACTATTCTTCTCTAGTACTAAAGAATATGAATGATGTATGTTTTTAAAAAGCATAAATTCTTAGAGTAAGTGGACATTAATATTACTCTGTAAATTTTTAAAATTTATAAGATAATATATTTCACCTTATGGGATATTTTATAAATTATAATTAGTAATAGTTGCCTTTTATTTTTTAGTGGGCATTTAGTTGTATGTGTATATGCAAACACGTACACACAAACATAAGCAGTGCGTGTTTTAAGTTGGAGAGTGCTATATCTTTAAGAATATATCCAACTAAATTTTGCTGATTCCACTGGAACCTTCTGTTTTTCATTAATGTCAATTCAAAGTCACAGCCAAAAGGGTTAAATATATCCTTGTCTGATACTAAGATGAAACCATTGTGTTACTAATATCTGGAAAACAAAATTGCCATCTCTGGAATGAAAAAGGGTCCTCGAAAAGTGGATTGTCAACACCTAAAGTTTATATTTTAAATAGCTTTGAGTTTATTGCTTTTAATCTTATGTTTTAAAGTATGTCAATTTAGTGGTTTAAAACATGTATTAGTAAGTACTAAAACAGCACACAACTGTGACTTAAATTGAATAATTTTCATTGTACAGACTGAGTAAAATGTTTTCTGTTTTTATTTTGTCTCCTCTCGACACTTTTTTACAGGGCACCTATGATATGTGTTTTAGAAATAGCTGTTAAACTTTGGTTTGAATGAAGAATGTCTCTCAATCCACCTATATTTCTCAAACGAAGTGAAGAAAATAATTCAAAATTTGTGGAAACAAAACAGTCACAAACTACTTCCATAGCTTCAGAAGATCCCCTTAAAAACTTACGTTTAGCATCTCAAGAAGTTCTTCAAAAAGCTCAGCAAAGTGGGAGATCAAAATGTCTCAAATGTGGTGGTTCCAGAATGTTCTACTGCTATACATGTTATGTCCCAGTTGAAAATGTACCTATTGAACAGATTCCAGTTGTGAAGGTTAGTAAGAAATTTAATTGTTTGAAAGTAAGAAAATAGGTTTTTAAAAGACATCATACATACCTACTCTAATATAATTGATAAAGGAAGCGTATTTATGGAAAATTTAGTCCTACAGAGTACTAAACCTCTTTGTTTTTCTTGTCTCTGGGTCTGAAATGGTGTTTTTAATGAAACCCATTAATTTTTCATTAATAATTATAATTTCTTTACAACATAGGAAAAAATGTGTGATATAAACATATGAATACTAAAAAAAAAAGTTTATAGAAACCCTGAAGGAGCTCCAAAACTCAGGTCTTTGTACTGCTCCTTGAGAAAATACTATTCTAGTAGAACTAGAGTCAATTTTTACCTAGACTTTTATGACTTAGTCTTTTCCTATACGTGGGGATTGAGCAGATTTCATTGACCAAAAGGAAAATAAAATTTAAAAACTAAGACTTATTCCCTGGGCTATGTTATCATAGAGTGATTTTAAGCCCAATTTAAAAGTTACTCAAATTGATTGCTAACATCCCAAACTTTAGGAATAAATCAGTTAATGTATAAAATTTGACTACTGTTTATTAAGACTTTAGAGAGAGTAAACTCTACACATGGGCTCATTAGAACTTGCCAGTTAAATAAATAAATAAATAAGTTGTAGCTATATTTTTAAATATTTGTTGTGATGATTTTAAAGTTCATTTAAATTTGAAGTAAGAAAAGTACTTTGACTGTCATATTTTATTTGAATTTCAATTTAGCCTATATCATCTTGACCAGTCCATGGTGTCCTCAGCATCTAAAATCATACATAATAAGCTAATGGAAAGTTTGTTAGCCAAGAATAAGGAAGTGTGGAATTTAATATAAGCTTCACAGTTTGCTCAGAAAAACTAAGAACTTGAGAGTAATAAATATTTTCAAGTTTCTCATTATCTTACAGGAATGTTACATTTTGAAGTATGGTTTTTCAAGTATATATAGAATTATTCTATCTTATAATTCTCTCATTATTTTGACTGTAGCAGTGGATTCAAGAATTTAATATATGTTAAAACTTATTAGATTGTACATTTTAAATATGTATAGTTTAAAACATAAGAAAAATAGTTTTGTCCTCCAGGGTAAAAGTGTGCCCAGGGTAAATTCCTAGAATCCTATTTATTTAGTGTGGAATGGGAACTTGAAGATTGTGGGAACTACCAAATAAAACAAAAGGTCATTTAAAAGCTGAAGTCAAGAACACATCTCCAGAGGGTTTCTTATATATAGTAGGGGAGATGACTTGGCATTTTTTTCATAATCATGGCTGAATGCAGTACTTACATAAGCATTATAATGAGAGCTAAACCAAAAAATGCCAAAGCAAAATAAGAAAAATGTAATTAAGAAATCCAAGAGAATATTATTTTTGTACAGAGACATGTTAATCTGTAACAAATAATGAAACTTTAAGGGAAATACTTAAGCAACAGGGGTCCCAATCCCCAGACCACAGACCAGTACCAGTCCTAAGGAACCAGGCTGCACAAGAGGTGAGCTGCCAGAGAGCAAGTGAAGCCTCCATCTGTATTTACAGCCACTCCCCATGATTTACATTACCACCTGAGCTCTGCCTCCTGTCAGATCAGCAGCAGCATTAGATTATCATTGGAGCATGAACCCTGTTGTGAACTGCATATTCATGGCACCTAGATTGCACGCTGTTTATGAGAATCTAATGCCTGATGATCTGTCAGCGTCTCCCATCATCCCCAGATGGGACCATCTAGTTGCAAGAAAACAAGCTCATAATGTAATGCTGATTTTACATTATGGTGAGTTGTATAATTATTTCATTATACATATTATAATGTAAGAATAATAGAAATAAAGTATACAGTAAGTGTAATGTCCTTGAATCCTACCAAAACCCTCTTCTCCAACCCCGGTCTATGGAAAAATTGTCTTCCATGAAACCAGTCCTTCTTCCCAGAAAGAATGGGGACTACTTTTTAGGCAAGATGATTTTAAAGAGAGTTTTGTGATATAAAGATTACACCTCTCAGACTTATTGTTACTATTTTTTTAATTGATAATTATTTAATTTGTGCTGTTGAAAATGTGATGCCGAAAATCATGATGTTTACTACAAAGGATAACAGTTTTGACCTGAAAGTATGTATAAGGAACAGAATTTCAACTTGAATTTTAGATCTGAAGCTTTTTGCTCAAACTTACATTTCCTTTTAAAATAGTGTAAGAGGCCAGGTGCGGTGGCTCACTTGTAATCTCAGCACTTTGGGAGGCCGAGGCAGGTGGATCACTTCAGGTCAAGAGTTGAAGACCAGCCTGGCCAACATGGTGAAAAACCATCTCTACGAAAAAAATATAACAATTAGCTGGGCATGGTGGTGGGCGCCTGTAATTCCAGCTACGTGGGAGGCTGAGGTAGAATTGCTTAACCAGGAGACAGAAGTTGTAGTGAGCTGAGATTGCACCACTGCACTCTAGCCTGGGTGGCAGAGTGAGACTCCCATCTCAAAATAAATAAATACAAATAAAATTAAGTAGGCAAACCTAGAGTTTATAGGAATTATAAAAATGTCTGTGGCACACATACTGAAATGCAATAACTTAAATGAAAATGACACTGGAGCTTTGCTGTAAGAGAAGATTCTGTGTTAAATGAGTTGAAAATAATGGTCCTAATACATGATTAACAATTCCAAGGAAGAAATTTGGGTTTGCTTTGTTAACAATCACCATTCTTAATATTCTGGTAGAAAAGTATAACTTTTAAACCATATGCATATGTATAGGAATTTATTGTGAGCTACCTATTTAGCTTTAGAGACCCTTTTTATCAATGTAAAAATTAGAATGTTTACATTTGTTTTTTTATTTGTCCTTTTTTTTTTACCTTTAGCTTCCATTGAAGATTGACATCATTAAACATCCAAATGAAACAGATGGCAAAAGTACTGCTATACATGCAAAACTCTTAGCACCTGAATTTGTAAACATTTACACATATCCTTGTATTCCAGAATATGAAGAAAAGGACCATGAAGTAGGCAACTTATTTTTTGTAACTCTTCACATTGGATATCAAAATGAATTTTAATCTCCATTGCCTTTCTGAACTTACTCCAACATAATTTAATATTTTTCTTCATAAGCTAGCATTATGCTCAGGTAGCATTAGATAATATACCATATATTTCATTGATATCTTCAAAGGTCACATGATTCTAGACTGCTATGCTTTTTGAGTCTCTCTGCATTTTGTAGCTTTTCTGCCTTATGTCTTTAGGTTTTTACTCTTTGCCAATATTAAAGTGCCTGCTTTTACTTTTTCTTGTCTCCTCCTGTGTCTGCTACACATAGATGATCTAATTTGATGCAAACTGGGAAACCAGATTAGAAATGTTGTTGGAATTTCTCTAAAAGAAGAAAACTGAGTTAGGATGTTCAGGAATCCTCCTAAATTAAGAGCTTTAGTGCATAGCCTTATAATATTTCTTTTGGCTGCTTAGAGGCCTTCCTTGCTCATTTTTAGATTCTTAATTGGTTTTCACTTAGTTGCAGTTGTCACATTGGTGAGATATTAAGGGTCTTCTTGCTGAAAAGCAATTTTGCAATATGTCTCAAAAAATTAGGCCTTGATTACTGAAAGAAGCATGTAAAAACCTTTTGGTCTCTTGGAGGCCATTTGTTGGTGTGGCTGATCTAGAAACAAAATTAAAAATTCATTCATTCACTCATTCCAGGAAAAACTTGGTAAATTTTTACTTTCCTATTTATCTCTCTATATATGTATTTTTTTTGGTTGAGTTTATATAGAAAATTATATTTGTAAGTAATATTTAAGTTTTGGATCTAGGAAAATGTTTTCTTCTCTGGTCAGCTACAGTCCATTTATGTTGATTAGATAGAATGCAGTGCTAGGTTCTGTAAGGAGATGTGATATGCTAAAAATCTAAGAAAATTCAGAAGCCCTGGACTTTGCTAACTGATTATAGGGGGAAATATAGACATGTATTATGAATATTTTTAAACTTTTACAACTTTGAAATTTATAAAATTCAAGTTTTTTGCTTTTTGACAGAGTCTTGCTCTCTTGTTCCCAAGTTGGAGTGCAGTGGCACAATCATAGCTTGCTTCAGCTTTAAACTTCTGGGTCCAAGCAGTCCACCTACCCCAGCTTCTGGAGTAGCTGAGGCCACAGGCATATGCCACTACTCCCACCTAAGATTTTTATTTTTTGTAGAGACTGGTCTCACTATGTTGTCCAGGCTGGTCTCGAACTCCTGGGGCTCAAGTGAACCTTCCACCTTGGCCTCCCAAAGTGCTGGGATTACAGGCATGACCCACTGTGCCTGCCCAAGATTTTTTGCTTTTTAATTTTATTTTATTATGATTTTGTTTTTATCTTTTTATTTTAAAAATTTATATGCTCATTGAAGAAAATTTGGGAAATAGAGAAACACATGGGGATAAAATTCCCTTGATTCTACCAACATTTATTCACTTAACAAATATTTACTTGGTGTGTACTTAGTGCCAAGAGCTGTTCAGACATTGGAGGCTCTAACAATATCAATCTCAATAAAAATGTGCTGAAAGAAAAGAGGTATCATAATTCATAAAATTTTTCCTGGAAGGTTAGATTTTTTTTCATTTTAATTTTTCACTGTAATAAATATACTTCGATATTGTGCATGTGTGTGTTTAGGATTATTTTATTATGTTCCCATAATGAAATCATTCAGCAAAAGGGTATGAATATTTTAAGACACTTGTTTTAAATTGTCAAATTGCTTTGATGAAGACTTATGCTATTTAATCCTGACCTCAAACCACCATTTCTTCACCAGCATTCACTGTCATTTGTTTTATCTTTGCTTATGATATAGGTGAAAATGGCACTTAATCACTGAAGAGTTTCAGTGGTTGTTTTACAAAGTATCATGTACTTTGCTTTTTATCTTATTGAAAAATTATATAATTTAGTCTTCTTATTTCAAGTATGATTAACTTGACCTCTGTCAGTCAGTGAATAATGTATTTTGAACTTTTAATTAGTATATTAAGATTATAAATTACTAGGAGAGAGCTAGAACTTTACCATACATATTAAAGAAGCATATGCAATAGAACCAACCTACTGCTTGTTTCTCAAAAATTCAACGTTTTTCTTAAAATTTTAAGCACAATTTCTGTATTTCGAAGATCATAATACCACACTGCTAACCCAGTTTTCTTTGTTTTAGGTTGCTCTTGTTTTTCCTGGACCTCAGTCTATCTCAATAAAAGATATTTCTTTTCATCTGCAAAAAAGGATTCAAAATAATGTTAGAGGCAAAAATGATGACCCTGACAAGCCATCTTTTAAACGCAAAAGAGCTGAAGAACATGAGTTCTGTGATTTGAATGACAGCAAGTGCAAAGGCACAACACTGAAAAAAATTATATTTATAGACAGCACCTGGAACCAAACAAACAAAATAATCACTGATGAGCGACTTCAAGGTAAAAAAAAAAAAATGTTTTTTGGACTGCTCTTCCCTCAGACTTATTTTGAAAAACTAACAGACAATATGAAAGAAGAGTTGGATTTAATACCTATACATTTTGCCACACTTGCTTTATTTCTCTTTCTCTTTATTACATATGTGAGTATGTATTTATATATTCTATATTTTTTTGTTTTTTGCCTGACAGTTTTTGTTTAGTTTTTTTTGAGACAGAGTCTTGCTCTGTCACCCAGGCTGGAGTGTAGTGGTCCAATTGGTTCACTGCAACCTCTGCCTCCTGGGTATAGGCAATTCTCCTGCCTCAGCCTCGCTAGCAGCTGGGATTACAGGCACATACCACCATGACCGACTTAGGTTTTTTGTATTTTTAGTAGAGACAGGGTCTCATCATATTGGCCATGGTGGTCTCAAACTCCTGACCTGAGGTGATCTGCCCTCCTCGGCCTCCCAAAGTCCTGGGATTATAGGCATAGGCCTTGGTGCCTGGCCTGCCTTACAGTTTTTAAAAATAACTTTATTAAGGAATAATTAATATATAATAAACTACACATATTTAGAGAGTATAAAAGTTTTCTCGTATGTGTACAGCCATGAGACCATCACTACAAGTAAGAAAATGAACCTATCCATCCCCTGCCAAAGTTTCCATCTGTCCTTTTATGATCTTTCACATCCAGCTTTCCTCACAGCACTCTCCAACCCCATCTCTAATCTATCAATTGTCTATATCTAATCATTATAGATTAGATGCATTTTCTGGAATATTACATAAGTTGAATCATACAGTGTGTATTCTTTTCCTTTTTTCAGTTTGACTTTCTCACACAAAATAAATCACTTGACACTTATTCTTCTTGTAATGTGTATCAATAGGTCATACATTTATTTCCAACTAGTGTTTTGTTGTATGGGTATGCTACCATTAGTGTTACCTGTTTATCTGTTGATGGACGTTTGTACTGGTTGTTCCTCATTTTCTGCTGTTTCAAATAAAGTTGCTGTGCTACTTGTGCTAAAAAAAAAAAAAAAAAAAAAAAGTATGTTCTCCTGTATAATAAATAGTACCATTATTACGAAGAAAATTGATGAAAATTTCATCATATTATCTAATATACTGTCCATACTCAAATTTCCCTAACTGACCCCAAAATACTTCTTGTAGCTTCCCCCCTATAGCATTTAAACTTATCACAGTTTATTTGGTTATTATGTATATTTAGTCTCTTTTATTTAGAGCAGTCTTGTTTTTGTTTTTCATGACTTAAACTTTTGTGAAGAGTACAGGTCAATTGTCTGAATGTTTCATTGTGATTAGTTTCAGTCTAAATATGTTGGCTAGGACACTTACAGGTAAGGATAAATCCAGGGTTGTCTATGTCTAGTTTATATCTATTGTTTTGGTATAATTATTAATAGCATATCATTGCACTCTCAGAAGTGAACCTTTTAGCTGATAAATTGTATGGTTAACCAATTCATAGGTGAATTCATACTTTATTGTTGCATCAAATTAGGAGGCATATAATGCAAGTTGTTCTATTATTTGTGATAATTTTCATTACTTGATTAAAGTGGTGATTGCCAGATCTCTCTTTTGTTAAGGTTTATTTTTTCTCTTTGTAAGTAGTAGGAATCTATGGGTTATGTTTCAGACTATGGACTGTTTCCCAAAAACCTTTCAACAAGTAGTTTTAGTACTCATTGATGATCCCTGCGTAAATTGAATAATTACATTGAGAATTGAAAAATGGTGAAATTTTAATTACATGATTTCTTCTACATTTGTTAGCCAGTATTCTTATGTAAAGAAGATCTTTTCCTTTTCCCCCTGTTCTTTATTTCTCTCTCTCCCACCTCTTTTTGAGATCACTATGAACTTACGGATTTTTTTCTCAAATTCATGATATTATAATCTATTATAGCATATTGATGCTCATCTTTTTGATACAATCTTTTTGATGCTCGAGTTCTCTCAAATTTTGCCAGTGGAAACCCTTCAAGTACTTCACGGCATGGCCTCATTTGTCCTTTTGGTACAACAGACAAGTTTATTTGTACTTTTTTTCTGCCTCAGACCTAGAATCAATTGTTTTTCTAAGAAGCTATAGTTGCTTTTAATAGGAAATGGTATTAGAAACTAAGATCTGGTAAATTCATTACTATTGGGATGTCATTCCTTCAGTGGATAGACCCAAGAAAAATATATAGTTATGCATCATGAGTTCACACAGATAGTTCTAATTCATATTTAACATTATAAGGATTTTTATTTATTTTAGAGTGAAAAGCTTGGTTCCTAATAACAGTCGTTTAAAAGAGTTACTTTACTTGCTCATGTATGATTAGAAGGCAAGAAAGCTGGCCGGGCACGATGGCTCAAGCCTGTAATCCCAGCACTTTGGGAGGCCGAGGCGGGCGGATCACGAGGTCAAGAGATCAAGACCATCCTGGTCAACAAAGTGAAACCCCGTCTCTACTAAAAATACAAAAAGTTAGCTGGGCATGGTGGTGCGTGCCTGTAATCCCAGCTACTCAGGAGGCTGAGACAGGAGAATTGCCTGAACCCAGGAGGTGGAGGTTGCAGTGAGCCGAGATCGCGCCATTGCACTCCAGCCTGGGTAACAAGAGCGAAACTCCGTCTCAAAAAAAAAAAAAAAAAAAAAAAAGGCAAGAAAGCTATTCAGTTGATATTAGGCAATTGCCAAAACAGTTATAAATTGGGAGAGCGTCTCTCAGGCTAGTGTTAAAAATGTGCATTATCTAGAAAGAACATTTTGACACTTTTTGGAGTCTGGTGTTCATTAATATCAAGCAGAAGTGAGTGACAACACTAGATTTAACTAGCTTAATTTATATAGGTTATGCATCTGACATCTTCATACATGTTAGTAAGGTTGCTTTGACAGTCGAATTGTGTGTTCTTTGTGTTGTATGTGTGTGGGAGAGAGGGAAGGGCAGGTACTATGGAGTATAAGATCTGAAAGAAATTTTGTTGCCAGTGTTTAATAGAAAGACAAACTCCTGAGCCCTAAGGCTGTGCTCTTTGAAAGAGAAAGGGAACACTGCCTGCCACATTCCCATGGATGTTTACAGCAGCAGGTTACTCACCAGTTTGAAAATAATTCTGAGCGGTTTTTCTTTATTGTTACCTTATATGGTAATTGAAAAGATCAAATTAAAAAAAAATATGTAAAAACCCTTGACATAACTATAAAAGGAATTATGTGGTATTATTCAAAATCTCGTTTCAGAGTGTTCACATTTGGCTTGCCTAAAATCAGATGTGTACAAAAGATTTTTTGTTATTCCTTCCCAAGTCACATGGGAAGTATCATATGTTTTAGTTCTATGCCAGATCAAAAATTTTTAAAGGGGCTTCTTAATCCTTAAAATTATAAAAGAAACAGATTTCTAGAGAGCAGTTTTCTGTATGACCTACTTCAACCGCTGTCCTTTGTAGCTCCTTGTTGCACCACAGGAAATAATTAGGGCTCTACACTTATTTATAACCTCTGTATATGTAAAATACTAATTTCTGAATAAACCAAGTTACTTCCATAAGAAACAGTCCATGTTTGTTATAAATTGTTGGCTTTAGGCTTTAAAACTTTTTGTCATTTCATGGGATTAAGCTGAACAAACTAAGTTAAACCTCAACTAAACCCTCAGGTATATTGGAAATTATCTTTCCATTATCTTACTGTGAATGCTGAGGTTAAGATTCCCCTTAACAATGTAAAACCGGACTGTTTTGTTTTATCTGTGCCACTTTAAAGATGAATCCATGGTATTACTCTGGATACTAGCCATTCCTTAGGATCTTAAGGTCACATTTTATTCCTGGATGCTTTATGTCCCCACCTCCACCTGAGCCCTCGTCTTCTGTTCCCTACTATATTCCCAACTTCTACTCTTTGTTTTATCCACCTATCCCTAATACCTGACCCTTTGTCTTCTCTATCTCTCATCCTTGGAGGGACATGTAGCCCTGTGGTCATAGTTCTGATTGCATCATCAGGGCATCCCCCCCTGCCCAGGTATTATGGCCCAAATTAACATTGGTAGAACATACAGAACTATTTACAGAGAAATAGTTCTGTATGTTCTACCAATGTCAGAATAAAGCACTTGAAGGTAGAGTGCCTAATTTAATCATAAAAGGTAAACCTAAACCTAGCAGTGAAGAATTATGTAACATTCTTGAAGATTTACCATAGGAAGCCTTGGCAGAATGTAGAGGGAGACATTGTTTCTTTTTGTTGGGCTGGAGTCCAAATTATTTAAACATCATTATACTGTAATTCGTTTTAAAAATTAACCAGCCCTTTCCCTTCATTTTCACTATATATTGATACAGCTTTTAAAGTGATAACTTTGTTCACATTATAAGCATTGCCTAAATTACACTCACTGTGTCAGTGAGTACTGTGTCATATACTACCTTATTCAATCGTCACATCAAATGTATGAGGTAAAGGATGTCATCCTAATTTTGCAATTGAAGAAATTGAGGCAGCACTTTTGGAAGGAAAAGCAATTTGTAATTATCTACTTTAAGTTTCTCCTGCTAAAATATTTTACTAGTTTGGAACCAGGTGTAATGGCTTATTCCTGTAATCCCAGCACTTCAGGAGATGAAGGCGGGATTATCACTTGAATGCAGAAGTTCTAGACCAGCCTAGACAACATAGCAAGACCTACATCTCAACAAAAAAAATTAGCCCGGGGTGGTAGTGTGCACCTGTAGTCTCAGGTACTGGTGAGACTGAGGCAGGAGAATTGCTTGAGCCCAGGTGTTCAAGGATGCAGTGAGCTATGATCATGCCACTACACTCCAGCCTGGGTAAGAGAACAAAATCCCACCTCAAAAAAAAGTTCGTATTTTTACTATAATTTTATTATAAAGTTACTAATTGTTAGAAATACTAGGATATAAAAAATCTTTTCACATTCAAGAAACTGAAATATTTAATGTGTTATAGAATGCATACATATATGAGGCTGGTAGAAAAGACTGGAGAAATTCAAATTATAAATGTCTTATTTTATTCAGCATATCTGGGAATTTGTTCTTTTATCCATAGGTGCTGTGGCATCATTAAAGAATTTTAAGCTTGTCGTTGATATGATTAGATTGAGTTTTAAGTCTAATGGAAAGAATTGGGCTGGGATGTGACTTCCAGCTCTAATTCTTTCACTAAATAAGCAAAGAGGTCTTGTTTGTTTGTTTTTAACTGTTTTATATTTTTAAATTGTGACACATATGAAAGAATTTACACACATGCACTCACACACATACGTAACATTGTTATAAAACATATATAATGAAGTATTAAGAACTCATACATCAAGATAGTATTTCTAACTTCCTTTTATTCATGATCTCCCTTGTGCCATTCTTCTTCTTCCCCTGAGAGTTATTTTCCTGAATTACGCTTTTTTAAATTATAGTATTACATATATCTGTTTTTATAAACTATATATCATTTAGTTTTGCTTTATTTTGACCTGTATGTTGTTTTCTTGGGCCTTGCTTTCTAAAGTCATATTTTTTTTCTCAGATTTATCTATATTGTCATATCACTGTAGCTATATTTTATTCAATTTCACTGCTGAATAATATCTGTGAGTGTACTACAATTTATCTAGTTTCCTGCTAATGAAACACTTTGGTTATTTCTAGTTTTTGCTATTACAAATAATGCTACTACTCACATTCTTGTGCAAGTATAAGCTCCTCTAGGAAACATACCTAGGAGTCACATTGCTGAGTTGTTGAGTATGAGAAAATTCACTTTTACAAGATAATGCCAAATTGTTTTTCAAAGTTTATATACAAAGGAATATTTCCATCATTAGTGTATGAGCTCCAGCGATCCATAATCTCTCCTACCTTGGTATTATCAAATGTCTGATTTTTGCCAATCTAGTATGTATAAAATGGTGTCTCAATGTCATCTTCATTTACTTTTCTCTAATTACTAATTGGATTGAGAATTACATTATTTGTTTATTTGGCCATATACATGTCCTATTCATGCCCATTTTTTTAGTGTTTTATCTTAATTGATTTGTAGAAATTCTTTATATATTCTAGAATATAGCTAATATTGTAAAATACCTTCTTGCAGTTTGTGGTTCATCTTTTTAATCTCTTTCTTTTGAGGAAAAAAATTCTTAATGTGGAATTTATCAATATGTCTTTATCTTGTTTGAGTATTTCTCTTCTCCAAGATACTGTATGGCTAAAAATTTACTTTAGAGTTTTTGTATTTTCTATGTAAGTAATGTCAATTGCATTTATTTTCATTTCTTATGCATCTAATTAATTTGTTGTTCTTTATTACTATGTTAAATAAGACCTGTAATGCAGTATTTAATTGAAGCCCTGTAGAGGTCATCCTTCTCATGTTTCAATCTGATAATCTATGTCTTTTAAATAGCAACTTTAGTCTATTTACATTTGCTGTGAGTATTGATATAATTGGATCTACTTTCTACCATCTTAATTTTTTATTTCTGTTTGTCCTTTTTTTATAATTTTTGTTTCTTTTGATTGAGATTTTTTTCTTATTCCATTTTTATTCCTATTTCAGTTCTTTTAGAGAATTGCACAAGTCACCTAAAAAGTTCAAATCCAAACAATGTTTAATGTCTCCTTTTTTACATTATATGGACTTCATATGCTGAAGCTTCATTCAGCCTCTTCCTGGTACACATTCTTAATACCATTATTTCTGTTCTGTTCTTTATTGTCAGTCTACAAATTAGATATTAGTATTGTTTTTGTTTTATACAGGCAACAGTTATCTGGATTTGCATAGATGTTTACCATTTTCTTTACTCAGTGTGTTATCCAGTACATCCTTTAGGAATTCCTTTAATTTGATCTCTTGTTGGCATACGTTCAGTTTTCATATGTTTATTAAAGTCTATCACTTTTTTCTTGATATGTTGTTCTGCTGGGTTCATGATTTTAGGTTGCCAGTTTTATTTTTTGTTGTTTTTGTTTTTTCTTTTTGACACTTGAAAGATATTATTCTAGTGTCTTCAATATACTGTTGTGGCCAATGGGAAGTCTTTGGTCATTCTAATTACCTTTTCTTTGTATATGATCCATCCCTTCTCCATGGCTTCTTTTAAAAATCTTCTCTTTATCTTTGGTGTTTTGCAGTTACATAAGTATGTAATAGATATAGGCACTGATTTTTTTGTATTTATACTGCTTGAGACACATTATGTTTTATGTATTTGTGGCTTTGCATAGTTGAAAACAGTTTCTGGAAAAGTCATAGGCATTATCTATTTAACTGCCCTCTCTCTCTTTCATTCTCTTTGTTCTCTCTTCCTCAAACTCCTATTAGTTATTTAATCCTCCATATCTCTTAATATCTTTGCATTTCTTTTATTATTTATTTCTTCTCCATTTCTGGGGTAGCTTTTGAGAAAAAGTGAGATGTGACAGTGGGAAATCATTAATGACTTAGAAGTTCCAGTTGATCATTAGGCCAATTTGGATGCTACCCTCTCTCTTTTATTTCTCAGTTTAAAATAAAATTCGCAAAAACAAACAAAAAGGGGGCAAACAAATATAGTATGAGTCCAATTACTGGCCAACGGAGCTAAAAGCATTCTGGATTTGTATGATGACAGCTGAGTTATAACAGATGAGAGTACTGTTCTGTGATGGCATTAATTATTCCCCTTTTAAATGTGCAAGAGCAAGGCATTCTGCCTGTGATATTGAGGCTCTGCAGCATACATGTAACAGAGCTAAAACAGACAAAAGACACTATAGCTTTAGGATACTCTGTTCATAAAGATAGCCTGAAAGTGATAATCAAGAAGTAAACTTTAACCAGTATTAAGGACCATTAAGCTGCCTATCTCTCTCAGTTAATGATATTTTAAAGGTCAGTTTAGGCTAGGTATTATAGCTCACACCTATAATCCCAACACTTTGAGAGGCCAAGGCAGGAGTATCATTTGAGCCCAGGATTTTGAGACCAGCTTGGGCAACATAGCAAGACACTATCTTTAAAGAAAATAAAAATACAGAATCTTAGCTGGATATGGTGGTGTGCAGGTGTAGTCCGAGCTACTTAGGAGGCTGGGACAGGAGGATTGCTTGAGTCCAGAAGTTTGAGGTAACCCTGAGCTGTGATCACACTGCTGCGATCTAGCCTGGGTGACAGAGCAAGACTCCGTCTCTAAACAAACAAAAATATTAGTTTGTCAAGGAAATGGAACCCTTCTGAAAATTGGTGAATGAAGTCCTGTCAGAGATTCAGATTTTTAAAGATGCTGGTACATAGAAGATTAGAAGACATGAATATCTTAAACGTTAACTACTTTTAATTCATTGCTCTAAGACTCAGTGTTAACTGTCATGTATAAGATTTTATTCTTTGTTTTATGTTGCTTCTGTATATACCTTAAGGCATTTAATATCTTGTTTCAAGCTGGTTTTGAAGGAAGTTATCTGTAGTCTTTAAAAAAATTGTTAGAATAATTAAGAGAAATCATTATTATTGTACCAGGCCTGTGGTTAAGAAGAAATATTTATATTTTTTCTTTTTTTTGACAGGGTTATTACAAGTTGAGTTGAAAACAAGAAAAACTTGCTTTTGGCGCCATCAAAAAGGAAAGCCAGATACTTTCCTTTCTACAATTGAAGCCATTTACTACTTTCTGGTAGACTACCATACTGATATATTAAAAGAGAAATACAGAGGGCAATATGACAATCTTTTATTTTTCTATTCTTTTATGTACCAGTTGATAAAGAATGCCAAATGCTCTGGAGATAAGGAGACAGGAAAACTTATACATTAGTTTTTAACAAGCCACTTATGTCCTTTTATTTTGCTAACATCAATAAACTTATATTTCTGCTTTGTCTTTTCTTAAGAAATTATTATATATAATGCCTGTAAGACCATTTGAAAAAATTTGAGACTCTCATATATTACTTTATATTTCTTAAAAGGAAGGAAATTGTATCTAGGGACATTTTTCAGAGGTACTGTTGATTGAAAAAGTTATTTCAGAAGTTATTTGCTCAGTGAAACCTCAGTTTCATTACTATATTTTAATGTAGCATGTTTTGTCTCTGTTAGATATAACATATTCAATTAGATCTAATTAGCTCTTTATTTCAACATCTTTATGTCTTTTCACCTGTACTCATGACCACCTTTAGAGGTAAATGGGGTTACAGTCTACTGGCTGAAAAATAGGTCATAAGTGATTTTTCTTGAGGTTAGTAGCAAACATAGGCAGAACTAGAATTAGAGTTCCAATATCTAGGGCTGTTTCTTTTAAGTCCTAAGGTTGTTAAAAGCAGAGACTCTGGAGCTAGATTACCTGAATTTAAATCTCAGCCTTTCTACTTATCAGCCATGTCAGTTTCTTCCATTTGTACAAAGCAGGCAATACTGAGCAGCTGCCTTATAGGATTAACTGGGAATTAACTGAGTTAATATCGAAGGGGCTTTCAGCAGTACCTGAAATATAATAAGTGTTATATATATGTTTGCTCTTTCTATTTTATTTGGAATTGTGAACTAATAATTGAAGCCTGGCTGCTAGAGGCCATCTCTGCTGCCAGGTGAAAAGAGCCTGCCTTAGAATGAAGTAGCAATGGAAAGCAGAGTGGAGAAAGAAAAAGAGAGACTGAGTCCTGTTGACATCATTTACTCACTTAGACCTAGCTGCTTGTGAATAGAGCCCTACTGTGCTGAGTAGCTTCTGTCTTCTCTTTTCTGTTCTGCTCTCTGCTCTGTGAGGTAGGTTCCCTTACTCTCTTGCTTTTGGTTGGGTTCAACAAAATGGGAAGTATCAGTGGGAGATTAGATGTAGAGGAAAATGAAATGATGTACTTTATTTCCCTGGCTCCTTTCCTGCCCTTTCATAATCAGTTGGCTTATCAGGAATCCTATCCCTTCTGTTCCCAAGCAGTTATCCCAGTTACCTCACTAGGTTTAGTTCCTGCTCCCTCACTTTACCCCTTTTCACTTAGGGCTGGTAATAGCTTACAGTTGTTAATAGCCCCAGGGTACTTCCCAACCACTTGTTGCTTTCCCTAAACTCTGCTCGGACATTTGTAAATACTGCACTTGTTTTATGATACTCTTCGCAAATGTTCCCATTTGAAGTTGCCTTCTATTTCATTTTGGTACTCTGATAAATTCACCTGTTTGGCTGAAATAATAGCACATTTCCTGAAGTATATATAGTGGGACACATCATGCTTTATTGGGGAAAATAGTTCTTAGTGAAATTAGTTTGCTGTACATTAGTTTGTTTCCCTCCTATGGATTCAGAAGGCAAACCATATTAAAGGTTCTGGAAAGTCCTGAAATAAACATTTTGAACTTTATTTAAGCTGATAGATCTTAAACTTGCTTGGATGTGTAGCACCTATTAACATTCCGTGGAAATAGGACATTTGGAATATTGTAATTAAGAGCAATTCCTATTAATATACATGTGGCAACTGAGAATTAAAGAGGTAAGTAAATTTTTGATAGATCATAATCCTAGTTAGTAGCAGAGCCTATTCTAGAATCTGGAACTTCTGATTTGGTTTGGTTCAGTTAAAGTCACCATTATATTATGCTATTCATAAAAAGGACTGTGGATTATATAAGGTTTGAACATTATTAGTCTTATAGTCTTAGCCAAATAAATTAACTGGCTTGCTTATTCAGCAGTTATTTTACAAGAATAGAATTAAAATAGTTTTTTAGTTGTTATTGTTTTTTATGTTTAGAACTTGGCCCTGGGAATAGAGGAAGGCTTGAATTGATTTAAGCAGGGCCAAAGTTGGATTTCTCTGGGCCATATTTGGACTTCCCTGAGCCAAAATCTATTGCATTTAACTGGCCTTACAAACCAACTAAATGTAACAGTTCAGAGGGAAAAGAAAAAAAAAAGTGAGAGAGAATAATTCTATCACTCATTTGCCCCCATCTTTCAGTTGGCACAAGAAAGATGACACACGTAGTTCATAAGAGCCTAATTTATGGCTAAGGCTAGATAAAATCTCAGGTTCTTTTCAAAAGAAGATAATAATGCCTCTTAGAACAATGAACTAACTATACTTGTCTTGTTTTTCTTTGGTGTGATAGATTTAATAATGGCCCTAATTCTTTATTCTTCCCTGTAATCATGGTCATTTTTCAGGTTCCTTTGAATTACTCCCCACACTGTGATTCTGGGTCATAGGCATCCAGAAATTTAGCGCATTTTTACTTACTCTTTGTTTCTGCTGTTGACATAGAATATGCTTGGCTGAGTTAGCCTGCTGGAGGATGAGACATCCATGGAGCAGAACAAGGTTTCCCTGGTCACCCTCACTGAATCCTGTCTAGATTGGCTAATGGCCAGCCAAACCCAAGATATGTGGAGGATTCCAGCCAAGATCAGCAGAATCATCTAACTGACACCTACCTGATTCCAAATATATGAGCAAGGAACGTCTATTATGCCACAAAAGTTTTATAGCTATTTATTGTGGCATTATTGTGGCTGTAGAGATCTCATTTTTGGATGTGTTATCAGATACAGCTTCTTCAAGTACCTTAGAAAATTCTCAGTCTTGTGTTTCTTGGGCTCTTGATCACTTGCTTTTCCTTAGGTATCACCTCACATAGTAACAGATTACTAGCAGACTTATATGATTCCTCTGCTTGAGATCAACTAGCCATATGTTCAGAATCTGGCTTATACCAACACTTCTGGACTTTAAAAACTCCATGCCACAATGACTTAAAAGGGCTAGGTGATGTACTCTGGTAGGTTTGTGAAGTTAACTGTCTGAAAACTTCAATGGACTAGAAGAACTATGGACTACAGTGCACTAGAAGAAGTGCCAGATAAATTGCTCTTCTTCTGATGGACTGTATAGAGCAGGCGTCCCCAAACTTTTTACACAGGGGGCCAGTTCACTGTCCCTCAGACCATTGGAGGGCCGCCACATACTGTGCTCCTCTCACTGACCACAAATGAAAGAGGTGCCCCTTCCTGAAGTGCGGTGGCGGTGGGGGTGGTGGTGGCCGTAGTTTGGGTATGCCTGGTATAGAGACACTTTTTTATCCTGCCTGTCCGGAAGTGTATTATGTGGCTATGCAAGTATACTTGTCACATGACTGGCAGTGTCTCTTCATGGCTTTTCATGAAACAGCAGCAAGTGCTATACGGTAATTTGGCAGTTTGCATTTGCTTCCCATTATTGCTAGCTTCACTTCCTTTCTTCCTCACTCTTACCAGCCTGGATTGTACCTTTAATAAAGTAGTGGATATATTTCCTTTAGGCTCTCTTCTAGGGAAGTCACATGTTTTAGTCTGGGTTTATTTAGAAAAGCAGCACTGTTACAAGTGTTACATGAATAAAGAAGTTTAATAAAGAAATTAAGGTTTACCCCAATGTGGGAATTACTGGGGTAATAAAGGTCTGGAAGGCTACAGTAGAAGAGATTTAGAGAAGTAGTAACTAACTAGGCAGCCCGAGATTCTCAAAGTGTTCATGACTTCGTTTGTAGAAACATGTATATCTTAAGCATATCAAGGTTCTCATTCCTCTAATCTTTCTAGGAGCCCTTTGGTTCATCCTGAAAGTCCCCCTAAATCCCTTCAGAAGTCTTAAAAAGGGTAAATGGCTACACCTTTTATTTGATCTTTTCTTTGAGGCCATATTAATGGCAGCTCCTTGGTTTGGTTATTGTATTAGGCTGTGTTTGATTATCACATTTTATTTGACAAGAAACAATTTTATTTTCTAGTTCTGCACATCCTAGGTTATGTATTTTGTTTCAGTTCCACTTGCCTTAATTTTGAGCTTTTCTGTTTCTTATGTTTCTTATTTGGAAAAAATAAACTGTCTGTTATTAAGTGTAATAGGTAAGGTACCTAAGAGCCTCAAAATACTACCAAATGCCATGAATGCATTAGGTGTACTTTTTTGTCTTCCATGTTACTGGAAGCATTAATTAAAGCAAATTTTTGTCTCCAAATACTGACAGTTAAAAGACCCTAGTGAGGCCGGGTGCACTGGCTCACACCTGTAATCCCAGCACTTTGAGAGGCTGACGTGGGTGGATCACGAGGTCAGGAATTCAAGACCAGACTGGCCAACATGATGAAACCCCGTCTTTGCAACAACAAAAAAAAAATTAGCTGAGCATGGTGGCTTGTGCCTGTAATCCCAGATACTTGGGAGGCCAAGGTAGGAGAATTGCTTGAACCGGGACCCGGGAGGCAGTGGCTGCAGTGAGCCAAGATCGTGTCACTACACTCCAGCTTGGGCTACAGAGTGAGACTCCATCTCAAAAAAAAAAAAAAAAAAAAAAAAAAAAAAAGACCCTAGTGAAAAGTTTAGCCAAACACATACTGACCCTACATTGAAGGCCACCAGCCAAAAATCACCACCCATATATAAGAGCCAGACATCACTAGACACTTGGTGAATCCTTCAAATGAAAAAGGGGAAAAGGAGGGGAGAAAATCCAAAGGAAATAGAGAAGAATAATGGCAACAAAAAACAACTAACTATCTTCAAAATAAGAAAGAATATATTGTATTCACAAAACAAGAATAGGAGAGTGTGAAAAAGAACAAACAATAAAAAAGAGATCCCAGAAATCTTTAAATAATTGCTGAAATTAAAATTAAATGTATAAATAAAATTTTTTTTAAAAAAAACAGTGTTAAAGTTTTACTCTGAGGGATGAGATAGGAAGCCATCAAAGGATTTAAGCAAAGGAGTGACAAGATTTGACTTATATTTTTAAAGGATTATTTTGGCTTCTTTGTGAAAAATAGACTGCAAGAGAGTAAGAAAATAGGAAGATCAATTGGAATGCTATTTCAGAGTCCATCTGAGAGACAATATTTGCCTGGACGGGAGTTGTGATCATGGGAGAGTGATACAGAATGACAAGATCCTGCATCTATTTTGAAGGTAGAGCCAGTATTTGCAAATAGGTTAGATACTGTGGTAGACATGAAAATGTGCTGCCTAGATCCCCCTTCCAGGAAGGACTTGCTTATTAGCTGCAGGGAGTGTGGAAAACAGAAATCCTTCAGCTATCAGCACTTCATCGGCAACAGCTATAGAAAAAACTTCACCTGAAGTGACCCTTGCCCTAGGTCTCAGGGGTGAGCTTAGTGGAGATGTAAGGTCTTGCTGTTTCAGCCTCATTTATTACACTGTCAGGCAAAACCTGCCCCAGAGCTCCCTCTATTGGAACTTGATTTCTTCTGCCTAATCCTGCTTTCTCCCCTTCCCCTGCCAGGTGACACTTTCTAATAAACATCTTACACCCTATACTCCATCTCAGCATTTCTCTTTAAAGGATTTAACCTGTGGTAGTTGTTAGCAGGAGTTATCTGAGCTGCCATTGAGGATCCCATCACATGTGGCATGTGGAACAAATAAAACCTATGGCTCAAGGTGGTAACTTTTATTAGTGGTAAAATGAGATTTACCCATGGAAGAGAATGTGCCAATGAGTGCATATATCAGGTATTTGAGATGCATGAAGGAAGTAGTAGATTTAAGAGTAACAGAATTGAATGACCAAGTGCCACTAATGCTCTATAGAAAGAAGGTTTCTTTGGTTGCATATAAAGCTCATCTAGGATTTAATAGTCCAAGTAGCCAAACTAGTATTTGCCCTTAAGAATAAATACTGGAAGATCAGGCACAGCAGGTGAATGGACATACTTTTGTCAGGTATGTGCATGAACTGTAAAGGTCTCTGTATCAACGTGCAGTGCTCACCAGAGAGCATTCAGTGCTGAAGAATACTAAACAATAAAGCAAACTAAACACTTTGCCTAGTTGACATCATCCATCCTGCTTCAGTTATTGGCCACCCAGTGCTGGCACAGTGGGCACATGAATGGAGTGTCCACTGAGGAAGGGATGTAGACCAAGCGTAGGTTCAGTAACGAGTTTCAACTTACCAAGGGTGCCGTAGCTCCTGCTGCTGCTGAATGTCCAACGTACCAGGAACAGAGACAATTCTGCATCCATGATATAATGCCATTCTTCATGATTAAGCTGGTTACATTGGGCCCCTTCATCCTGAAAGAACCAACATTTCCTGGTCATAGAAATACACACAATTTCCAGATATGAGTTTGCTTTTCCTGTTTGCAGAGCCTCAGCCAGTATCACCATTTGAGTTTACTTAGTATTATATTCATCAGCATGGGATCTCACATTATATCACATGAGATCAGAAACCTATTTTATGGAAAAGCAAGTGCAGGAATGGACCCATATCCACAGGATCCACTAATACTTTTTTCACCAACCAGAATCTGTCAGTCTGACAGAACATTGTTACA